TCATGAGGAGCTCTGAGGGGAGATCCCATTCTGGGTGCAGTCTTGAGGCATGCAGGCATGCATGCCACCCATACTATGTGCATTTCATTAACCCTTGGATTAAATCATTTCCCATGAAATGTTACAACTTAATACAGTAAAACCTAGGCATGTCATGATTACTCTTGAGACAAGAGTCCTGTTCTCCAGCATCAGTGTTAGCAAAGGCACATTTAAAAGAAAATGTTATTTAATTTAAAGTGTTCTTAATTCTGAAAGACTTCCAAAAAAATTTTATATATGGTGTTAGCTTGTAAACCAGATCCCAAATAAAAGAAAGCCTTGATTTGTAATGTTTGCCAAATTCCATGGTGTAAATATTTCCACCGTGGCTGATTTCAAGCTACCAATGGTTGAACAACCGGTTCACAAAATTCCTGAATGCTGGATTTAACAATCCATTTTTTCAAGTGGCTAAGAGCTGGTTCCAGCACATCCATGGAAACAAACTATTATTCACTTTATAAGCCTTGACTGGAATAATTCAAGGGGCTTTATGGAAGTTTGAATCTTCGTTCTGTGCTGATAGGATGTGGCAAAGAGGAAGTGGTGCTCAATAAACTTCCTGCTGTGGAGATTTGATGGGCTAGATCTCAGGGACTAGAGATTCAAGGGAGGGGAGAGTCCTTAGATATTTTCAATTTGTTTTTTCTTCGTATTTCTGTTTTTTTCTCCTTCAAAGTCACTTGTTCAGAAAACGCTGGGATAGATGTCTTAGAGCAAGCTACTTAGGCACATGAGAACATCGCCTTGGTTTTTAGCTTTTCTCAAATTCAAAGTCTTGCTTGGCTGTCATATGGATCTGAGAAAACTTCTCTAGTAGCCTCCTCCTAACTGTAAAACATAATGCTGATTGGCCTCACCTTCTGTTCGTTGTTTTTCTCTTACATACTTTCAGAAACTCTGCTCTTCTCACCTAGCTCAGCAGCTTGAATAAGTTATACTTTCAAATTCAGTTAATGTTTGGCTTGAAAGTGATGCACCTGAAGTCCAATTATGGTCTTGAGCTCCTTTTTGAACTTGAAGGAGCATAATGCTTGTAGCTCTGCCTCTCATCAATAGGCAGGATTCAATTCAATCTAACTCTTGAGCCCTGATGCAGTAAAGAAGTTATGGTTGGTATCATGGGTGAGCCACGTCTCAAGTGTTAGTCATGGAAAATGGTTCTTAGCCTCTTGAGGGTGAGGCCAGGCCTTGGTTTGCTCATTGCAGAGGAAAATTCTTTGGGCTTTTAGATGTGCCTTTGCTTCCTCATGATCTGTCTTTTTATTATCAGTGTTTATATAGTCTGTAAATATAGTTGTATTTATATAAATATAAAAAAAGCTTTTAAAAAGCTTTTTGGTGTACCTTTATACGTTAGATGAATACAAATGACAGAGATAATTTCTTCCTTCATTCCTTTATGTTAACCTTAGTGCGCCAAATATTGTTCATGGCCACCTGTTTGTATCTGGGCTCAGTTCTGGGATTCCTGCCCATGTGGGGCCACCCACAGTCTCCTCCACCCTCCACCCCACCTTCTCGTCTTACAGCTGGCTCCACATCTCCAAGTCTCCAAAACTTCAGCTTCTTTTTGTTCAAGTCAACAAGTTAGATTCTACCTTGCCCTCCTAAGGGAACTGTCAGTCTTTGTTTTGCTCTCAGTTTTCCTAGTCTGTGGATTACTAGCAATTGCAAGATGATTTACCATTCACCATTAATAAAATTTTTACTGGGGATTTAATAACGAACAAGTTATTTCCTGTTTTTCACATATCGATGTGAAAACTATCTTTGTCCTTCTGTTGACAACTGTGCTAGTATAACATGCTGACTGGAAACTCAATTTTTGAGACAATTTACTCATTGACTTCCCAGATTTGGCCTCTCAGGATGTCTTGGGACTCATTCAACTGCCCAAAAGACCAAGGTTGGACTAAAACAGTGGTCAGAATGGGAAGACATTTGCTTTGGAAAAACAATAGCTTTGATAGAAACATAGTTTGTTGACAATCCTCATCTACCAGTACTAATATTTCTATGTCAACGTCTAGGGAATATGTGGTTCTGATAAAATTTCCTGATTTTAAAATATCATTTCCCCCCGAAAGCAATAAAGTCTAACTGCTACATGTGAGAGCTGCTATCATGTTCCTTTATTAATTTAGTTTTTGGCTTGAGTGAAATATTTCATGCTAAGGTCAAATATGTTCCTTCTTAATTACTCTATTTAAGCCAGAGGTGGATTCCAAAGGGTTGTTGTCAAAAGTCCACCTTCAAAATGCAGGATGCACTTGCTTAGAGGTATGCACCAGTAAATTTCAAAGAGTAGGGGCAAAAGCAAAATCAAGGGTTATGTTTGTCTTTTTGGGAGGCACCGTATGTCAAATCAGTGACTTGGTGGGGTTTTCTAAAATCATATTGTGTGTCAAGCTGTGATCTAGTAGAGCTGGAAGGGACAATAACCTGGAGTTGCAGAAATCTATTTATATTGGCTTAATTCTAGGAAGATGAGAGCATTGGAGTTCAGTGTTTACTGAAAGAAATAACACCTGTGTTAAACCAGGTGACTACCAAAGGGAACCAAGAACTCTGGGGTGGAAAGACCCTAACTTTCAACAACTCTAACAGGTTTAGCACAAATTACTGGGTTGGTTGACTCTTCTCACAAATATTAATAGTAGTTCCACTTTGCCTGGTTAGTGTATAGGCTGAGTAAATAAATTCAGAAAGGAGGCTTTGCCAAAGGTATACCACACCTATGAAATTTCTGGAACAGGAAAATGATGATTTGGGAATTATGTGTGTGGACTAGGGAACAAGAGAGAGACATCACTTCCAAGCCCTGCTCTGTCATTTACTAGGTGTGTGACTTTGGGCAAATTATTTAACTTCTCTCTCTACCTTGCATTCCTTGTCTGTACTTGGAGGTTGATGCAATGATCCAAATGAAATAACGTATGCAAGGTTATGATTTTTATATGTGTAAATAAATATATCCTTAGCAATGAAGGGAAACACAAGTGGTAAAATAAGAAATAAAATCCTTTTAGAAGAAAAAGTTGCTTGAAATTTTTGAAAGTTGGTGATTACCTAATATCTGATTTGGTTAGTAAAATATTTGCTGAAGATGAATTTACCCCAATAAGCAACTTTACCTGGTAGCACAAGGACAATTTCATTTAAAGAAGTGGTAGCGGACAGCATATTGCTTCTCCATAGCTAACAAAAGATTCTTAAATCAACTTGGATGGAAAGGCCCAACATTAGAAAATTCTGTATGTGTGTGTGTGTGTGTGTATAAGTGCAGATGTTGGGGGATGGTGACTTTTTTCCATAGCTGTATACACGTTTTTTAAAAAATTGCTTTGACCTCTTGGCTATCTACTTAGTGGAGGAGCATACCAGTGTAGTTAAATGAGCACTTAGGGCCTGAGGCTTGGTTCATGTGATAATCTTTTGGATAATTCATAAATATTCCAATTCTCTCCTTTCCTGACACATGGAAGGATTGCATTTCTCACCTCCTTTGAAGTTAGGCATATCCATGTGAATTGATTTGGCAAATGAAATGTAAGAGGAAGTGATAAGACTCACCTCTCATTTCCTTTGTTTAGGTCACAAAGGAAGTACATGTTGAAATGGAATCTACATTGCCAACTCTGCCAGCTGCTGTGGGACATGTATTGTGAACGAGAAAAAAATTGTGTTAACCAATGAGATTTTGGGGTTGTTTATTATCGAAGCACACGCTAGCCTATCCTGACTAATCTACTCACTGTAGGGCCAGGTATTCACTCATGGAGGGACATGGATTCAGAAGTAGCCAGCGACACAACTGAACAGCCCAATTGATGCATACAAAGAATGACTCTTCAAAGACAAAAACAGCCCACAAACAAAACAGAAAAGAAAACCCTTCAGAATCTATACTTCTGAGAGTTCTTCCATTTGTACCAGGATTTGTCCTCCCTCTAGGCTCTGTCTAGCTCAGGAGGTTGATCCATACTATCATGTGGATACTATGATCCATATGATAATCTCTGATTCAGACAAGTATCATTGTCCAAATGAGATTGTGGACTAATAACCTCTTTCATTACCACTTCCTGCATCTCTCTACCATGGAACTTCCTCTCTGCTTCCCTACTTCTTTCCCTTCCTTCTTTTCCTGAAAAAAATTAAATGATTGAGTGCCCATTATGTACTGTAACAAATTTCTAGAAGTGCAAAGCCACTGCTTCTATTTGGTTGGTGGCAGAGTCTGACATCATTTAGAGAGCTAAACAATTAATACTGATATAAAATGGTAAATGTTATACTTGAGATATTTACAAAATAACATGCAGGCTTGGAAATAACATGGAGTGACTATGAGCTTATATGGCTAAGCCTTGAACTTTATATCAATCCAAACAACACGCAAACATCTTAGTAAGAAGATCTTTCATTCTTTGCTAAGTCATAAATTTGGGAATGTCTTGAGTAGGCAGAGGCCGTTATTTTGAAACAGGAAAAAGAATGATTACATCCATAGAGTATTTGAGGAATGTGTGAGAAATGTTTATTCTATTCTGTTAGGCCAGGATGTGGACCTTTCCAATTCACATGATCTTCTTACTGTTGGAACAATCAATCGTATCTGAAAATGACAATAGGTGGAAATAATTAAATAACAAGGAAGACAGATAAACACTGTCAAGTGATTTGGGCTGCAGCCAAGAACTGACAATGTTAGAAAGTATTTTGCAGAAGATGGTGCATTTAAAAGACTTAAACGGTGGCTGATTAAAGGAATTTGTTATTTTCATTTTAATTGTTTCATCAATCCACAGCAGAATTACAATAAATGTGAAGAACAAGTACAGAATGTGCTTTTTTTGCTTTTTATTCAGCAAAACATTTTTTGAAAACACAAAATCATTCAGCCAAAAAAAAAAAAAAGGCAAACGTCCCACAAAGCAAACCAAAGAGCTAAGTTTCCCTGCTGATAACACGTTTTGACTTTTTATTTTGGCATGTAGAGGTCACAGAAACTCACAAACTTACAATATATGCACAAAGTTTCTAAGTGCTTATTTGGGCAATATCTTTATTTGGAATACAGAATTTTGAGTTATAAAACTGTGAATGGCTTATAGAATGCAATTTACTAAATTAGTCTTTGTTCTTACAAACCAGAGTAATCTCATCCTTTGACAGTGAAAATATAGATTAAATATATTTCCGCAGTCTGCGACCCATGGTTAATTTTCATCCTTGGTAGGACCGGCAGAGTTGGCGCTCTCCTTGGCTGGTGTGCTGTGCCCCCGTTGGCTTGGAATAGCAGGAAGCACTCGGTTTGTCCGTAGAGGTTCTCCTGATAGAACTGGGGAGAAAGAACAGAATGAGAGACTTTCAGGATGTGCTTCTCTCCCAGTCTCACGAATAATGATGGCAGAACTGTGTTATTTCTTAAGGAATGCAGGCATTTCTGAGAAGCTTGTCTTGGTGAGAGCCAGACTGCAGGAGAGAGCAGTGTCTATAAATCTATTCAGGCTTTCCACATGTAGTCAGGGATGTCAAATATGCACGAATGCAAGATTGGGCCAAGATTGATCAAAACACGATTGGGCTGTGCGTGCCTGGCAGAGCTCTCTCTTCCTTGGGTGGAGTAGCCATTGATGGCCAAGTCAGCACAAGGCTCTAAACAAGTCCCAAGACATTTATACTGTGCTTTTATGCAAACCTCAGAAGGTTCTCAGGTTTCTTATAGGAAAAGCAATGTGTACCTTTCCATTTCTTTTTCATAGAGCTAAAGTTGATCAATGATCTTTATCTTCCCTTCTCTCCTTAACTTTAACTGTGAAAAGCAAAGCTCCTGGGCTCTGCCAAAGAAAATCCTCTCTCTTTGGCTCCCCCCACCCCAGGATGCAAGGCTGAGTGACTCTTTCCTTAACTAGATGTTCTTGTGACTATGTTTCTGCTTAAAGACAGATCAGGCTTGAATTTCACTCAATGACTAAATTCACACCATCCAAAACTCTCACTTTACACAAATCAGTAGAGGCAGAGGCACTGATCTGTCAAGGAAGAGACCTTGGTTTCTGCTACTAACTCTTTGTGTGACTGAATATCTCTTTCCTCCTCTCTGTTTCCTTATCTGCAAAAAGATGGGGTTATACTAAGACGTCATGGTTCATCATGTTTACCTAAAGAGTTCTAGAACTCTTGGTTGGTCTCCTCCAAACCACAGCCTGGGGGAGGAAGACACTGGATATTTACTCTGTGCAAGCAGTTGCCAAGAGTTTTACGTACATTATCTCATTTAATCCTCCCACTAATCTTATCAGGCTGGCGCCACTGTTAGATGCAAACTGAGGAAAAGCAGTATAAAAAGGTTAAGGAAGGGGCCGGCCCGGTGGCGCAGTGGTTAACTTTGCACGTTCTGCTTTGGTGGCCCAGGGTTCACTGGTTTGGATCCCAGGTGCGGACATGGCACTGCTTGGCAAGCCATGCTGTGGCAGGTGTCCCACATATAAAGTAGAGAAAGATGGGCATGGATGTTAGCTCAGGGCCAGTCTTCCTCAGCAAAAAGAGGAGGATTGGCAGCAGATGTAAGCTCAGGGCTAATCTTCCTCGAAAAAAAAAAAAGGTTAAGGAACTTGTCTGAAAAAGTTAGGGCTGCTCCTAAATCATCCAACCTGCAGATAAGAGGATGTGGAGGGTATGTGTGTGTGCGTGCACAAGCATGTGCACGCTTGTGCACATGTTATAAATGTGTGGGGTGGGATAAGAAGAAAAGGAAGGAAGGAAGTTAGAATCCACTTGGTACTGCTTGTTTCATGAAGTAGCTGACTCAGTATCCTGTAGTTTTGCTCCTGGCTCTGCTACTCACTGCCTAAGTGACGTCAGGTAAGTCATATGACCTCTCTGAACTCAGTGTTCTCATCTGTACAACAGGAATAATAATAGAATACGCCTCAGAGTACAGATAGGAGGATATACAAACGCCAAATTTCTGGGTGTGGGACTCAGGAATCTACTTTATAACAAGCATCCCAGGTAATAATGAGGCACACTCAAACTTGAAGATCACTGGCCAAATAGCATATATTAATATTTTATATTGTGAGACATTTTTGTATAAAATACAAAGTGAATCAATAATGCCAAAAGTAATACTAATGAACAGCATCGACTTGATTACTCCTTTCTGCTTAGGAATCTACAGCTTGTGAGCACAGAGGTGGCACACATTTCTATCCATCCGACATCGTAAGGAAACCAATGTCAAGAGGCCAGTCTTAACAGAAGAATTTTTAAAGCACCTTCTTAAAAACATGAAATAGTACATAGCAAAATAAACTTGTTATTGTTTTTATAGTCCAAGCACAAAAATTCCTCAAAGGGGGGGGCTATTTTTTTTAAAACAAACATTACCAAGTTGGATGAAGCTTTAAAGACTTTCTACTCTATTTTCCTGTAATTTTCAAGTTTTGGTGCCTGATGTTCCCTTCAAAAATGAAAGTAAACTGAAAAAATAACATTTAGTTGTGTCTAGACGTGTTAACACTTGCAAAGGAAGCTGAGGAAGATTCCCAATACTTACATTTTTGGTCCGGTAGAGGAGCTAGGTTGTTCCGGGTGAAAGGAAGGTCCCTGATTTTGGGTCTGTTTGGGGAAAGACGCTGAAAACTTTGTCCTGGAGACAAACATATTTGCATCAGTTATTTGAGACTCAAGTGCAAATATAAAATCCAATGGATAAGAGAATCGTAAAAGTCGTTAGAGATTACTAAATTTAAGACACTTACAACAAAAACAATAATAATAGCTGATGCGGGGTCGGTGAGCCGAGGAGTCGAAAGAAAGATTTCTTAGACTCTCAAGATCTGGCAGTAGTGCTCTTTTATTTAGAGAATAGTGTGGAATAGCATGGGGACAGGACCCATGGGCAGTCAGAGCTTCTGCTGTTGCCCCCGCTGGCATGGGGACAGGACCCATGGGCAGTCAGAGCTGGTGCGTGGGGACAAGACCCACGGGCAGTCAGAGCTCCTGCTGCTGCCCCGAGTTGAGGGTTAGGGCTAAATTTAAGGCATAGGTATATGATTCATCTCTTTACAAGACAAAGGAAAGAACATGAAAAAAGTTAAAATGGTATCAGTGCAGGTGGGGTCTGGTCATTGGGTGATCCCATGACTTTTAGACAAGAATCAAATAGGATTAAGTAAAGGTCAGAAGCCACCACCCTAAATCAGTTACATGAGATTGCCAGACAGCAACCAACTTAAGTTCTTGCTTTCCCCATTAAGAGCTTCTAGGGATAAGGTCTTCTCTCCTCTTCTTCCTGGCACAGAGAGGGAGGCATCTTCACAGATAGAGGTTTCTCTTAGAAATGTAAATGTTTCCCAACAAAGGGGTAAACAAATTCCACTCCTTGGAGCCTGAATCTCATCTGTAGTTTTAAAACTAACCAGCCTAAAAATCCTCATCATAAGCCATTTTAAAATTAAGCAGCCTAAAAATCCTCATCAATAGCTACACATTACTATTATTTCTATTATATGGCAGTCACTGTTTAAATGAAGGAAAAGATTTCAGAAGTCATTTCTTGGATGAACTAGTTTAAATAACATTTTATAAACAAGCACAGTTGGCCACCCACTCTATGAAACATAAAAGTTTGAAAAATTAAAATAGGGCATTAATGCATCACATAGTTGTCAAATCTGTGATGAATGAGCAGGTGATGAATAGGATGTATTCTTGCAGAGCAGTGTTTCTCAATCCTGGCTGCACATAGGAATTATGCGACGAGTTAAAAAAAAATGCTGCGCTGGCTAAACCCCAGATCAATTAAATGAGGATCTCCAGGGTTGGGATAGGGCATCAGAGTGTTATGAGCTCTCAGGTGATTCTAATATGCAGCCAGGACTGAGAATCAGTGACCCAGAAGATGGGAGCTGGGTGCAAGCACCTGGTAGATTGCCATTGTCTAATTTAGACTATAAGCCTCGCTGTGCTGGAGCCCCGCGTACCGGCCCTTGGGAGCCGTTGGGTTAAATTTTCAGGGGTTTTGTGAGCTGGTTGACAGCACACTGGTGGCTTGACATTGGCCATGGTGGAAGTATCTACACCATGGGAATCAGCAAGCACTGATTTTCTCCTGGGGAGCCAGCTATTAAATATTTACCAACACACTACTGATTACAAGAGATGAATGTTCCAAATATCTGAAAATAAAAGAGAGTACACAAAAGTGAAGTCCATTTAAAAAAGTGATCGAATGATATAAGGAACAGCTCAGGCTCCGGGATCTGACAGGATTAGGCTCCCGTGATTCTCAGCTCGGCATCAATTTCCTCATATATAAAATGGTGAAAAGAATTGTATCTGTGTTTTTCAGTGGTCATAAAGATTAAATAGGAGAACAAATGTAAAGCATTTAGCTTCCAGGGTAAACACTCAATAAACATTAGCAGTTATAGTTTTATTCTGTGGAGTACTTAACACAATCTCCTGGACATGGGGCAGGTATTCATTTGACCTTTTGCCTAGTCCCCTAGTGGAACCAGAATCACTATAGTAACACTCATTAAGGGTTTTAGTCTTCTGTTTGGGCGAAGGAATTCTTAACATAAGGGAAAATTTTCAAAAAGCATTAGCCAAGATCCACCTTCCACCTGCTTAGGCGAGTCCAACGGTAGACTTGTAGGGGCAGCCACCTGAGCAGCGTCATCTGATGAAGCTGGAGCAAAATTTCCAGTCTCCTTGGTGGACATTTTGCCATTATATTTTTATTCCTTTGAACTCTGAAGGTCAAATAACTTCCTGAGCCATTATTGTAAAAGGAAACATTCCTGAGTAGAATGACAGTAAACCTTTATCAGTTCAGCCCCTTTTCATCCCTGAATACTTGAGCAAAAATTTGCAAAACTAAGAAATGAGATAATGATAATTATGGATAACGTTTATTGAGCACTTACTATTGTCAAGGACACGGCTAAATGCTATAGGCATAATCTCATTGAATCCTAACAATCACCTTCTCTTGTGAATAGATACTGTTATCAGCCCCATTTTACAAATGAGGACACTGTGGTTTGGGGGAGTTCTCAAATGTGCTCCAGGTCACATAATGGGAAGCCCGAGAGCCTAGGCTCCCACTTAGGCCTGTTTGACCTTAACACCCATGTTATCCTGCCTCCCTAAGAGCCAAAGCAATATTGATAGGATGAGAGAAGTGGGCCCAGAGGGGCTGTGGCAGCGATTTGGGAGGTGGGAGGAGAGTTAAACTTCATTCTACATTGCACTTTGCTCAGGTTTGAAGGACAGGGTGGAGCTGTGCACAGCCCAAAGCTCTCTTATCTGCGCTGCAGGCACCTTTACAGTGTGTCCAGCCTGTGGGGACAGAGTTGAGGCCCACTCGCCTGGAATAAAAAGGCAGGAAAGGTTTTCACAGTTATAGGAAGGAACCAGAAGTGAATGAAAGATTAATAATAATAATAACAAATAAATAAATTCAGCATTCATCTACTGCGTACTCACTGTATTCCTGAGCCTAGGATACAAAGAGGAGGAGGCAAGGGGCTCAGGAGGGGCTCCCAGTATATGTTGGAAAGCAGACAGGTAAACTCGTACTTTTGAAACTCAAGAGTAGAGCTGTGAGGGCATCACAGAGGAGAGCGGGGTCCTGAGAGGTCAAGGTGTCTTGATTCCCATACACCTCGCTCCAATGTCTGCTCCACCACTTCCTAACTATCTCTGTGGCCTTAAGTAGGTGGGCTGACCTCTCTAAGCCTCAATTTCTTCATTTCTAGAATGGGGTAAAAACTCCTCTCCAGCAGTGTTGTTGAAGGGGAAGTACCTAGTTCACTGCCCTAGGAGAGGCTCAACGGGGTGGAGCTATTCTTTTATGATGAACGCTAGGAAAGAGCCACACCTCCTACAGAGGTCAGAGTGACTTTCACATAGAAGGTAAGTTTTGAGCTGGTTCTTAAAAGCTTGTAGGACAAGCACAGTGGATAGAACACAAATAACATGGGCAAAGGCGTCATAGAGTGAAAAGGTGTGGGGTTGTCAGGGAATTGAGAGCTATTCCAAGAACTGTTTAAAGGGGATGGGGGAAGAGGATTGAACATGGGAGGTGCAGAAACTGAGAATGGGAAGTGAGGCCAGGCCACGCTGAAGAATCCTGCCTTTGTCCCGGAAAGATGCAAAGCCTCTGCTGGGTTTAAATAGAGGGGTCATGGAATCAGACACACACAGGGAGGAGAGGGCATTGTTCCTAGGATAGTCTAGAAAATTCTGGAGAAGGAAGTTCTCTCTTGAGGGAGAGAGGAAGCCAGCACTTTCTTACTTTCCTTGTGATGGCTTGTAAATAACCAGGCTGGTAGAAAACACCACAGAGCTTTCTGTTCCATTTTCTCTGAAAGCTGCTGGCCATGAATTAAGCTGATGTGCTCCAAATTCCCTCATTAGGATAAGTGCCTCACCCCCCCATCTCTCTCCATCTAGCCCACTGACAGGTCTCAATAAATGTTAAGCAATAATCATTATAGCTAAATGTTCAGGGTTGCTGACGCAAGCACAGGATATCGGCTGCCAGGAATTCAAACAGTAGCACTGCTAGCCCCTATTATTTCTATTAAACCTAGGGCAGGAAAGCAGAAAATACAGAGTTAAGGGGCTATCTAGGTTCCAGTACAATTAACAGTATTCGATTGCTCTACCACGTTAGCTTTCACGTCAAATATGGAAGCTCAGTGTAGAAATCTGCTGAGTTTCAACCCACTTAGACTAACAACTTAAACCACTTAAAGGAACCTTCCCAACTGTGTCCAGAAGCCTCAGTAACTCGAAAAACAATACTTCAAAAAATGTCCACAGAAATAAATCCATAAAGGAGGGCAAATCTTTTTTATTTTTGGAAGGACAATATAGTTTCCAAGAAAATCGCATTGTAAGTAATTGGTAAGCATAGTGACAACTGGACTTTGAGATTTAAAGAGAGAAAGACATTGCCAGGGTGATGCCTTCCTCTTTAGAAGATCTTGATTTAAGTTCTAAATATGTCACTAATTAGCTGGGAGACTTTAAGCAAACCATTTTAACTTCTCTAGGCCACGTGAGCTAGAACTAGAAAGGGCCCCATGAGACAAAATGGTCCCAGCCTCTGTATCCAGAGGGTGAGAAAACTGTGGCCCAGAGAGATGACATGTTTTGCTTTATCAATCAGGGATGCTCCAGGAAAACAGAGACCTCTCTCAGTCTTTGAAACAGAGGGAATTTCATACAGAAAGTTGCTTATACTGGTGATAGAAAAGCAGAGAGGCCAGAGGACAAGGTAGAAGGACAATTTAGAGACAAGCCACAGCAGGAAGATGCAACCACATCTAGCCTGAAAGGATAAGGGGAAGAGGTGGTAAAACCAAGGCCCAGAAGCTGGTGGGAGCCAGAACCAGAGAGTAGGGGCTGTCTAGGAGGAGCTGGTGCCACTCTTGGAGACTCCACAGGAAGCAGAGGGACATTGTGTAGAACTACACCGTTTCCCTCTTTCTCCTGCCCTTACTCTTCTGTGTGCCTCCTAGTACTTGGCCCAAAGCACCTGGAAGCAGCTGCAAGGGAGCCTAGGAAGTGTAGTTCCCTGAGATTCAGCGTAGAGTGGAGGGAAAAGACTAGGTCTGAGAGCAAACAGGCAGTTGACTAGCACATTTACTTAAATTTCATCATCTTCAAAACAAAGGTCATCTCTAGCTTATCTCTAGGGCATAGGGCCTGGCATAGTTTTAAAAAGAAAACCAATGCGTGTGTGTGTGTGTGTGTGTGTGTTTAGTACGATGTTTAAATCACTGTTCTAAGTAGTTCGCCTGTATCAACTCATTTAATCTTAAAAGCAATCCACAGCCCTATGAATTAGGTATTCCCTCCCATTTTTCAGATGAGGAGACAAAGGCTTAGAGAGATTGAGCAACAGCAAGTAAGTGGCGGAGCCAGAATTTAAACCCAGACAGTGGGCTTTAGAACCCATTTCACCCACTGGAGTATGCCGCCTCCTGATAAATTAGGATGACAGACACTCAATAATCATTTAATAAATGAGTGAATGACTAAGGTGCTTTCCATTGAAAAACCCTATGATCTTGTATCTAAACCTGAGAAGAAAATCAATGCAAAGTCAGTTGCACAATCATTTTAGCAAATCCATATCCCTTAAAGCTCCTTTATAGGCTGAAGATTCTTGGGGGAGTTATCTTATCATGACTCAGTTGCCTAGAATGGCTCCTAGTTATTATCAGCACTCAAGAACATTGGCCAAAAAAAATAAATGCTTTGATAAAGACACAGCTGATTATTTAAGTTTCCCCATGGAGAATTTTGTTTCTGCTTTTCTGCCCCCCCCCAGGACCTTTCAAGTTACTTTTCACTGGAAAAGTGAAGCAAATCTTCAAACCAATTTTATTGAATTTCCTTTTATTTCAAATAATATAGGAAGTTTTAGGTGGCTCATGTGACAGAATCTACTAGCTCTCTATCCAATATCTCTTCTCTCCTCTCTCTTAGAAACAAAAATCCAATTTTGGAGGGACAGCCATGTGCCCAGATAAAAGAGTACAATGCTCAGGCTCCCTTGCAGATAGTCATGACCATGTGACTAAAGTTTTGGCCCATGAGATGTAAGCAGACATACGGGACTTATGGGAGATGACTTCTTAATGAGAGCTGATTCAGCTGAGAGCCATTCATCTCATTCCCTCTCTCCACTTCCTTTCTCCTGCTCTGTCAGCCATTATGGACTGTGAAATAACCTGAAGGATGGAAGCCATATGTTAAGCTGTGAAGCACACAGATGGGAGGAACCTGGCTCTTGGGTGATCATGGGGCCACCAAGCACCCGGGAACCAGCTACTTCCGACTTCTTTCATATGAGAGCAATAAACTTCTACATTGCTTAAACCTCTCTTACTTTGGATTTCTGCTACAGGCAGCTGAACCCAATCCTAACTGATAACAGAAATACAGCCAATGGTTGTCTTGGGAACAGAAAAAAACAAGACTTTCAAAAATTTCAAAAGATTTTCAAAAGAGAGGGTATTAGCCAGGACAGGACTAACTCCAGAAAGCAGACTGGGTCAAGGCCCTGGAGGCCACTAAAGTGACAAAAGATGGCAGACCAATATCTTTCCTTCCTTATCCTTCCGCGGAACAAAAGTGAAAACATTACCCATGCCGCCAACGAAATGGTTCAGTGTTTTGTGGAGGAAGTAAAATCTTGAGTGGAGTTTTTCTCAAGCACTAGGAAATAGCCTTCATGTGCTTATCCATATTTATCCTGTGCTTAAATGCATATGAATATGGAGGGAAGCCATACTCTACCTCACAGGCTTGAGACACCAGGCACACATGAGAGAGTGAGGAGAGCCAGACTCGTGCTGCATATTAAACAGGACAGAATGTTTCCTATTTCCAAAGATATATGGCCCTCCTCCACTTCTTAAAATACACATAGCCCTCTTCGTCTTTCATTCTTCTACTTTTGGCAGAAATATGAGTTCAAGAAATGTATCATTTTTTCCTCTTAACCCTAGCATAAGGAAAACAACAACACATTGATAAAGAACTGACACTCCACGGAGAGATGTTAGAGAGTGGTATGGACTGGGCTGGATGGGGGATAGTGATGTCTACGTGGTGTCCAAGGGGATAATGGTCACTCAGATCCGGGCAGTTATTGCCAAGTGGCATTTGGGTCCTGTGGTGCCAAACTTTTCAATTTCTCCAGAGAAGCTGGAATTTTATATTTTTGGGTAAAACTTTATGATTTTTAAATATTAGCAATTAATTCACTTAAAAATAAAGCAAGAGACGCAGTAATGAACTTATTTTGGAAGGCTGTTTTGTAGCCTCTGCTTTAGAACAATGGTTTCCAGTCTCTGGTGTGCATCAGAATCACTTGTGCACCATTTAAAAAAATAAAAATAAATTTTTCAGGGCGATGCATTTATTTTAAAAGGGGAGAAATAGATATATATTGCTTGTATGTGTATAAACATATAAATTCTTTAGTGTGATACATCTATCTAAAAGGGGACTATATATACATATGTATACATATTTCATGTATAGATATGTGTATAAAGTATTTTTGGAAGGATAAACAAAAAATCAATGCCATTGGTAGCTTTGGATGAGGGGCACTGGATAGCTGGGGGAAGAGGCAGGAAGGAGAGTTGCCATGTAGCCCTTTGGTGTGTGTGGAGACTTGAATCCTAAATGCTTGGTTGTCTTCTCTTCCTACACGTAGATAGAAGGCATTGCCATTTTCCCTCCTCCCTCACCAAGATTTTGCTTTGGTAGGTCTGGAGTGGAGATTGAACACCTGATTTAAGAACAAACAATAAAACAGACAAATCAACCCTTCATAGGTAATATTGCCACGCACTCCTGGTTAAGAATCCTTGCTAGTGGAAAAAGTAATATTTCTGCTCTAATCTGCCAGTTATCACACATATTTTCTGGGAAGATAAGGCACATACTTTTACTTGATGATTGCTCTCAGGATGAAAAAGCAGAATGCGTCCATAGCCCGGAAATCTTGAATCCAGTGGATTCAAGGAAAAAAGGGGGCCCATTTTGTTCTGGCCCTGTCATCCAGGCTATTGTCACTCCAGGTCCCAACCCAGAACTGTATGAGACTTTTTTTCCTGAGGAAGATTAGCCCTGATCTAATATTTATTGTCAATCTTCCTCTTTTTTAGCTTGAAGAATATTAGTCCCGAGCTAACATCTGATCCGAACCTGCGAATTCAGGCTGCTGAAGCAGATGCACCGAACATTACCACTATGCCAGGCCACAAGGCCAGCCAGAGACATTTCCTGTCTGGAGCCTGCCAGGAAAGAGGAAGAAGGAAGCAAGAACATTACCTGATGATGGATTATGTAGATAAGGAAGGTGTGGTGGCCCTGAGACCTCCTGGTGACTGGACCTGCTGGCGAGCAATCTGTCTAGCAGCTTATCAGAAGAAGACACAGTCCCAGTTTTGTAGAGCACCTGATTAGAATCACCTTTCCAGGGGTTATCTGGCAATGCCTGGCAGCCAGTTCTGTTATTCAATAAATCCTGCTCACTTCGACTTTTCTGAGATTGCTGGGCCATATGATGAGTACCAGAGCTCAGGCCGACATGGGAAGTGGCCCCCTGGGAGGTTGTTAGGAAGTTATTGCCCATGGTGATGGGTGGGAGACTCTGCGTTCTGATTGGTGGAAGCCCTTTCCGAGCCAAAGGCTTCTTTTCTGGCAAGAGATATTTTGAATTCTCTGAGGTCCTCTTCTTAAAGTCGACCATAGCCACCTGATTACCAGGCCGTTCTTGGCAGTTGGTATCCACGATGCTGTCAAAGGTGGTGATGATGTCATCAACTTCGAAGGTGTGCTCCCCACTGAGTCGGTCCCTGCTATGATCCTTCTGATAGGCTCTCTGCTCTTCTTTTTTGTTCTTGCAGAAGATTTGGTTGAGCATGCTGAACCGACCCTCCTTCTTCTGGGGTCTACCGTTCTCGGAAGGAAGGGGTTGAGCAGACTCTGTTCTGTGGGAATATAAAATAACAAGGATGCTATGTGAGCATAGGAAGTGGAGACAGCACCATGAACCCAACAAAATACTTCCCTCTACTCCATCTGCTTGAGCAAGTTGTCTTAGATCATCCAAAGACACCCCAAAGCCATCTCAAGTCAAAGGTGATGTGCAAGAACTCGCTACACCCTTGGCAATCCCCTTCCTTGCCATGGTCCGTCTCAGCCCAATAAGAACATTTCTTAGCCGGATTCCTCTTGCTTCCTCAGGAACCGTTCTTTCAAAATTTACCCCTAGATAATGTTTTCAGCAGGGGATAAACCAAGCTGAAAGTAGCTTAAAGCATTACTATTCTGACTTCTTAAGGACAATCAGTAGGAATGTAAACTTTAAGCAAAAGAGATGAAGGCCAAGGGTTGAGTTCAGTAGAAATGGTGGAGGTTGCAGAGGTGGGGGAGTGTGGCTTGAGGCTTTCTCTGAAAGGGATCCCAGGAGCCCCGGGCAGAGCGCTGACATTATCCACCTCAGGAAGCCTGCCACTTTAGGCTTCTTGTGTGTTCGTTGTTTCCTTTTCAGTTTTTACTAAATTTTCTATTGAAAAATATTTTAAAAATAGTATACTAAAGGAAGTCAAGGAAAGAAGCTTTTGTCTGGGCTCGAGCTGCAGAAGAGGAAGTGTGTATGCCAGAGGTCGGGTGTGGCTGCCGAAGAGAAGTGAGCGATGCCCAATGGGCAGGCAAATTCTAAAGCAAGAAAGGTCAGCAGTTGTCCGGCTGGCTCTTCTTTTGTGGAGAGTTTCCCTGAGGCACTAATCTGTTTTTGTTCCTTGGAAAATTCTGTTATTCTCTTTTGAGGCCACAATTGACTTAATGCTTTCTGTGGTATGAGTTAATGATGAAACCTGACCCATGTGTATGCCCTAAAAGCCAGACTGCAGCATTACTCTTTGGCGTGAGATATTGTACTCTGTAATTTGAAAAACATCACCACTTATTTTGGTTTCATATAATGAATGTTTTCTCTGCAGGTCACACAGTGCATAATTGAATCTTTATTCCTACGATGTATTTTTATCTTCCTTCTTTCACCTTCCAATAGGCTTTTTGAAATATTCAACAGAGCTTCTGAACTCCTAATACTACCAGACAGAACCCCTGGGGATCTCGAACATTCTGTCACGTTTCTCTACACAGAATACGCCCCTATGCTAATTCATGCTGCTTCAGCATCTTCTACACTCTATCTTCTGCTCTTGTTATAGGTTGTGATTTAGGCCAGTGGGTCTAAAGTGTGGTCCACTAAATCCCAGGGGCAGGGTCCCTGACAGTCTTTCAGGGGTTTCATGAGGTTAAAACTATGTTCATAATAATTACCAGGATGTTATTCATCTTTTTTGCTGAGCTGCCTTTTGTACCAACGTGTGCAATACAGATAGTGGGTGAAACTAGCACCAATCAAGGCAGTAGCATCAATGGACTTGCATTAAAAAATTGTCATTTGACTTAATAATGTCCAATGTTAACTTTATTAAATATTGAGCCTCAAATACACATTTTTTTTTACAAAATAGGAAGTACTCATAAGCAATTCTACTACATACTGAATTATGATGGTTGTCTTGAGGTAAACCACTTGTGCCAGCTGAACTAGATACTTTTTTTCACAGAACACCATTTTTATGACTTACAGACAGACTATGGTTATTTGGAGTTAGGAATTTGAAGAAATTTTCTCAAAAATGAACTAAGTGAGCCTGTCATTTCAAGGTAAACAATTGACAGTAATTGTTGCCAATGACAAAAGTTTAGCTTTCAAGTAAAAATTAGAATTTTATAGGGGCTGGCCCCGTGGCCGAGTGGTTAAGTTCATGCGCTCCGCTGCAGGCGGCCCAGTGTTTCGTTGGTTCGAATCCTGGGCGCGGACATGGCACTGCTCATTGAACCACGCTGAGGCAGTGTCCCACAGGCCACAACTAGAAGGACCCACAACAAAGAATATACAACTATGTACTGGGGGGCTTTGGGGAGAAAAAGGGAAAAAAAAAATTTAAAAAAAATTTGAATTTTACAAAGCTCATATGCACACTGTCAGCTTGACAGCTTCCTGATACACAAAGGTTTTTCTGATAAGATCAGTGGTGATATCAACAAATGTGATTTTTTGATATTGTATAATGAAATGCGTCATTTGGAAGATACTCATGACTAACTGAACCAATATTTTCCTAATGAGCAAAGCAAGATGTTACAAAATCATGCATGGATATAAGACCTATTTAAAGTGCAAGATTGACTAATGAATTTTAATGTAACAGAGTCCAAATATTTCATTGATATGGTGACAGAGTTCACATTGTAACTAACCTTTAGGAAACTACTACTTGTTAAGTTTGGTGTAATATCAAAGGAAAAGTATCACAATTTTCTGAAAAGGCTATTGAAATATTCCCTTTTCAACTACATATTTATGTGAGGCCAGATTGTTTTCATATACTTCAATCAGCACAACATATTACAATAGATTGAACGCAGAAGCAGAGGTGGGAATCCAGCTGTATTCTATTAAGCTTCTATTAAGATATCAAAGAGATTTGCAAACAATGTAGAACAATGCTGCTCTTCTCCTTAAATTTCCTTTCGGTTTTGAAGAATAGGTTATTTTTAACTAAAAATATAGTATTTATGTTAACATGTAAACGTAATGGGTTTATTATTAATTTAAATGAATAACTAAAATATTTTATTAAAAATTTCTTAGTTTTAGTTTCTAATGCCGTAAATATTGATGGGTGTAACTCACATGAACAAAAGGAGTTTGGGGTCCTCAATAATTTTCGAGAGTGTGCAAGAGTCCTGAGAAGAAAAAGTTTGAGAACTGCTGGTTTAGGCAAAAAGAAGATTAAGAGAACATGGTATAAAGGAAAGGGGAAAGGGAGAAAAAGGAAAGAAGGATTAAAATCCAGTAACTGTTAGGCTGATGGATTCAGGCTACTGCTATCATTTTGCTCCACAGAGTTGAGAACACATTACTACGTGTTAAATAATGGCAAACACAATTATTAAGTTATTGCTGGTTTTGCACATCAGCAATTAAAAAAATTTCACCCAATTTTATAAATCTCTGAGAGGAAGAAAAAAATGAGTGCCTCCTGGTGCGCTCACCTGCTCTCTTGGGAGAGGAGTTTGACACAGGCCGTGTGGCCGCAGTACAGGGCGTAGGCCAGGGGCGTGCTCTCATTGATGTCGCGCAGGTTGCTGTCGATGCCCAACTCCAGCAGTGACTGCACACAGTCTGCCTTCCCTGCAGCTGCGGCCCAGTGCAGGGGTGTCCTGGGGGACCATGTGGGAACAACACAAGTCTGAGCACATGAATGGTACAGGCTGCTTAGCTGGCAACAGCTCCTGCTCAAAGTCAGGTCATGGCAGGGAAAACTTGTTGCTATTTATAGCATGGAAAGAGTATAGACTAAATGGGGCTTGAGGGTGATGGTGTACATGTGGAGGGGTCTTTCCTCTAGCTCTGAGTATTCTCTGCCCTTTCGCTTTCTCTGGTCTTTCTGAGAATTTTCTAGAAGAGGAAGTGGTGGTAAAAGGTATGAAAAATTTTAGGTTCTTTATACATAGTGCCAAACCACCTTCTAAGACGATTGACTCCATTCATCCTCCTACCAGCTATGTCCCTATTCCTTTCCTAATATTGAGTGTCATTACCATCTTTAAAAGTCTTTGCCAAGTGGCAGTCAAAATGACACTTCGGTGTTGCTATCTTTTGCATTTCTTTAATTAATAGTGAGGTTGAACTTTTGAAATATATATTTGTTTGACATTTGAGTTTCCTTATTGAAATGACTCTTAATAAAGTGTACTTTCTCCATTTTTCTACTAGACTGATAATTTTTCTTACTAATCTATAGAGCTCTTTATATATTAAAGGTATCAATCTTTTATAGGTTATGTTTACACAAACATTTTCTCTCATTTGTTACTTGACTTTTAATTTTTAGTGATTTTCCATAAAATTAAAAAAAATAATCTCATTTAATTCCCACTTCATTTTTTGTTTCTTTCATGATTTTATGCTTACAAAGTTCTTCATCAGCCAGAGGGTAGATAAATATTCATCAGTATTTAAATCTTTATTACACTGTAAAATCAGTATTTTCTTATGAAAATGGAGGAAAAAAAATCACCAGAGACTGGGAGAAAATATTTGCAAATTGCATATCAAACAAAGGCCTTATGTTCAGAGTATGTAAAATCTTTCAAAATAGAACAATAAGAAAATCAAGCCAACTAAAAAAATTGGCACAAGCTCAGAACATACACTTCATCAAAGAAGATGTATGACTAGTAAATAAGCACATGAAAAGGTGCTCAATAACATTTGTCATCAGGGGAAAGCAAATTGAAACCACACTAAGATAGCACTACATACCTATCAAAGTGGCCAAGACTAAAAAACAAAACAAAGCAAAAATCCTAGCAATATCAAATGCCACTGAGGATAAGGAGCAACTAGAACTTTCATACATGGCTGGTGGGAATGCAAAATGGTATCAGCCACTCTGGAAAACAGTTTATCAGTTCCTTCTATAGTTAAACACATACTTACCATATGACCAAGCAATCTCACTTCTAGATGTTTAACTAGAAAAATGAAAACTTATGTTCACACAAAAAACTGTACATGAATGTTTATAGTAGCATTATTCATAATCACCCCAAAATTGGAAACAACCCAATGCCCTTCAAAAGGTGAATGAATAAACAAACTGTGGTTCATCCATACAGTGGAATACTACTCAGCAATAAAAAAGAACAGGCTACTGATATGTGGAACAACAGAGACGGATCTCAAATGCACTCTGCTAAGTGAAATAATTCAGCCTCAAAAGATTACACACTGCATATTTCCATTTCCATGGCATTCTGGAAAAGGCAAAACTGTAGAGAAGAGAACTAATCAGTGGTTGCCAGATCTTAGAGATGGGAAAGTACTGGACTACAAAGGGACAACCTGAGTTGACACCGGAGTTGATAGAATTGTTCTGAATCTTGTTTGTGGTGGTTACATAAATCTACGCACGTGTTAAAACTCATATAATTGTACACCCCCAAAAAGTAAGTTTTACTGAATGAAATAAAAAGAAAACCAGTGTTTTCTTCTAGATTTATTTGCATCAGAAAAAACCCCTGCATGCACATGTGTCTGTATGTGTATTTTGAAGTGTGTGGTGAGCTGTGGAGCCAAGGGGACTGTTTTTCCGATTACATAGCCAACTTTCTCGACACCATTTATTAACGTGGCAGGGCCATATTTTGAAATCCTGACCTATATGCATATTTTTCTGTCCTTCCTCTTTCCCCGTTTAATGAGGCAGCTGACATCGTGCTCAACCTCAGGGCAGTGATGTAGCAGAGCAGGTAAGAGAAATAGTGTTTTTCTGTCTCCGAAGAAAGCCAAGCCCAGAACCGAGAGCAGATTTGGAGCAAAGTAGTCCGCCAACAGTAGAAAGGGGCCCCTCTCAGCTGTCAAGGCAGACAAGATAAGTGGTGATAAAGGAGCAGAGAAGACCACTCGACGCAAGAGCCAAGGGGCCCAGAACTTTGCTTCCTTGGCAGAGCTGCTGGGAAGTGGGAGGCGGGGATGTCTGCATGATGTGTTTAGGCAATGGGACCAGAGGAAGTTAAGGAGGGGCGCAGGGCAAGATGACATACCTATAAATGGGGTTTCCCTTGAAGGGAATGGCTCTTCCATAGGATCAACACTGGCGTAGGAAAAGAGGACATGGAGGGCCTCTTCTTGGCCTCTTGCTGAGGCCTGAACCCTAGGAAGAAGGGCATTCCTGAGAGAGCCAAGTGGTCTCTCAGACATGGAGGCCACCTGTGGAATGGACAGAGAAGGGCTCAGTTGGGGCTATCTGTGAAGGAGCTTGGGCCTTAGTATTTGGAGTGGAGCCATGTGCACGATATGGCCAGAGTCCCCATGCCTAGATTGTGTCCTCTGTCAATCCAACCTTCTCCTCCTCATGTTATGCCATACGCAGCAATTTGAGAACACTTAATAGGACCATATATTTTTTTCAATCTAGTGATCAATCATATTGCTTCTTTGAATATGTGGCAGATATGATTTATTCCATCCCACATGAGAGAGGCCTTGCCAGACAATATTTATTATGAAACAAGATGAAGCACCAGCCAGATTATGGCCTCCTGTTGAGAAAATAAATTGCCAATAAATTAAGTAGATGGAGGGTTGGACATCAATCTAGTCAGGGTTACTAACACGTGACAATTCATTTTGGAGCATGGTGAAATACTTCTTTACAACGATTGCTAAGACTGTTTTAGTTCTTCTGACCATCAACATGGAAAAACAGGTCCAGAAGAACAGGGAGAAAACTTAAATTATCTTGCCAAGGAGCAAGGAGAGCATATAGATAACTTTTAATAACACACATGGAGCCTTTGTGGGCAATCTGTAGAATCCAGTTTCCAGTTACTGAAGCTGTAGTTCTTTTCTTATCTTTAAGCTCAGGATTTTCCTGCAAACACAGCAGACTGGTCTCAGCTATCACAGTGAGGGCTGGAGGGTCACGACCCATGAGCCGGAAGAATTCATCAGAGATGAGCAATGGTCTGAGGAGGTGATCTCTGGATGTCAGGAGATGATGGGTACCAGAATGCAGTGTTGGTTGAGGTATCAGTAGCCGAGGAATGATTTATGAACATGTAAATATTCCCTAGAGAATTCTCAGAAATATTTCGGGAGGAGAACTTGATAAAAGACTGTCCTTCCTGAAGACAAATGAGTTGGGTATTAAAAGAAAGTGTGTCCTCCTAACTGATGAAATTTGAGACATTTAAGCTGTGTAAGCTACTTCTGGGTTATATGTTCCATGCCATCAATCTTAGGCTTGTACCACCATGTTTTAAATACCACAGATTTACGAAGTGTTGTAATATCTAGGAGGATGATGAGTGCCCCCATATTTTCCCTCTCTCTCTCTCTCTTTTTTTTTTTTTTTAGCATTGCCTTATTTTTCTTCCCTTTCTCTCCACTCGGAAAAAGAAGAAGAAAAGGTAAGTCACAATTATTGTAAATGCTTAAAGCACTAAAATCTATGAAAATTTTGAAAAATTCTACTATAAACACAAGCTTATAGTCTCAACATGAAGGTACAGTTGCATAATGCAGAAAATATGAAACAAAATAGAGGGCGGGATTTGCTCCATGCCTGAAACATACGGGTTGAGCTTTGGAGCAGGAACTAGACTTTCTGTGAGACTTTGCTTCCCTGTGAACCCTCATAAGATCCTATCTTTTGCACTTTTTTTCTCCCCTTGGGTCTTTCTCCCCTGAGGCCTGGGGAACTGGATTTTCTTTGCTAAGTGTGTGATAATACAAAATGAGAAATATTCTATTCAGAGCTGGTTCTAGAAGTATTCTGAAGCAGGCAAACTTTTCTCCAGGCTTCCTTTCTTAAATGTGTTCCTTTCTTCTCTTTTTGGATCATTTACCTTTTCTCCTCATGTAACCGAAGTCCTTCTACTGTCTTACCTGGTCGGGTAACAACATCTGTTCTTTGGAAAAGGTCTGCTTTCAATGACACACTTCCATTTTAATGAAAGTTATCATTAACTGTCTCCAGCTTCTGAAACTTGTGTGGAACCCAAGAATTTTTTCCCATGTGTTACAATGACTTCAGGCATCAGGGAGTAGGAGATGCTTCTTGGGGTATCTAAAATCGTGAGAAGTGGATGGCTAATTTTGTACTTCAATAGAAGAGGGTGAAAAGACCATACATGGTGTACAAGGCTTATACCTATTCTCATTAGTCTTTGTTGTTATATTAGGCCTACATTTCCATTGAGTCAATGCCTAACCCAAGCAAAGGTTAGATAAGCATTGGAATTAAAAAGCTCTCAAAGTTTATTATGGATGAAGGGCATGATATGTGAAAAGCTTGATGTTTGGAAGAAAAGGGTACAAATCTTCCTTTAGTTGCCAACTCCCTCTGAGGTAAGTCTCTTCACCTTTCTGGACCCAGCTTCCTTTTCTATGCCAATACATCTTTAATGATTGAAAAAAACCAAACAAATCGATAAGGTCACATCTAGTTCTGAATACAAAGCCTCTGTTATGCTTTTGTCTGGATAACAAGAACTTGTTGACTTTGTGACATAATCCAGGAATGAAGAAAAAAATAAGACTTACTGTTAAGAACATAAGTGCATATAGCAGGAAGCTGATACACAGAAAGCCTTCTGAGAACCCTGGGGATGTTTAGCAAAAAGTGGAAAATCTGACAGTACTGCACAGTCACAGCGTGTCTCTCTACAACAATGATTTTTCCTGCCCTGACTAAAATAGAGCAGTTTTTATTGTCACAGCACACGTGTAAATATTACTGGCAGTAAGGATATAGTCATATAGGATAACTCCTTAAACATGTTCTTTATTTTGAGATTAACATTTGGAGGAGATATGTGGGAGTTCCCCCCACTTTCTGAGTTGCCATGGATACCTGTCGTCCACATCCAGAGCCTGCAGGTTACACTCAGGGACTCTTGCCAGTTCGTTAATAATGTCACAGAAACCTGCTGCCGCGGCGATGTGCACACATGTCTTCCCACTCTCATCATCGTAGTTGATTATGGCTGGACCCTGGTGATGGCTCAGAATGATGGAACACAGAATTCTATTTCCACTCTGGAAAACAGGGTCAAAGAAAGCTCATTATGTATAACCCAGTGCTCTTCCCTGTCTATGCATGCTAAGATAAAAATACAAAGTAGAACGATGCAAAAAAAAAAAAAAAAAAAAGAAAGAAAGAAAAGAAAATACATTCTCTAGAAATACTCCAACAAATTTCCACTTGTCTCAAGTGCCTGCAGGGATTTCTGTCTTCCATAAGAGCTAAATTGTCTTCTATAATTAGCGAACTAAGGAGGACTTCTATGAAATACAGGTAGAATTGACTGACATCAGAGCCAGCAGGACGCATGAGCCACCTAGACAACAACTTGCTCATTAAGTCTGTTTGTTCTGTTTCCTCTCTTGCTGAGAAACTGGCAGAGTTCATTTTAACGTTAACAAAATGACTATGATGAGTACTGACCGGTGGTGTGGCAACTAAAATGATCCAATAATGCTCATATTGCTATAAATTGCTTTCAATTTAATCACAGAAAATTCTTTGTGAAAGGAAATGGGTCATAATGAAGTAGCTGATCAATAAAGAGATAAAAAAGTATGAGAAGGAAAGAACTTCAGGCAATCATCTAAGTTGGGTCCATCTGTACAGGTCTACAATAAGCCTTTTTTTTTTTTTTGAGGAAGACTGGCCCTGAGCTAACATCCGTGCCCATCTTCCTCTACTTTGTATGTGGGACGCCTACCACAGCATGGCTTGATAAGTGGTGCCATGTCTGCACCCGGCATCCCAATCAGCGAACCCGGGCCGCAGAAGCGGAGTGCACAAACTTAACTGCTATGTCACCAGGCTGGCCCCTATAATAAGCTTTTTATCTTATCTTTGAAGGGAGGCTATTTTACACTCTTTTTGGTAACCTGTCCCAGCCTTAAAAGCCACCAGCTCCTCCCTGAGAGTGTCCTACATCTCTTCAGCGTGTATGAATAAGTAAATACGAAGCATATTATTGGTGTTGAATACCTTTCATTGGACTGAAAAATCAAGAAATGCTGCATAAATATTTGGACTTAAGATGACAATCAGTCTTCAATGGCCCATAAAAAAAATTCTGCCTTTATATTATACAATGGAAAGCCTTATCTTTCAGATTTCTCCTGCTATCTGTGGAAAGATTAGAAAACAATCCAAATAATTCATTAGCATTTTAATTTTCTCAACTTGTCCATAGAGAGACCTTATAACTCCACGAACACGGTCTTATGGGCAGAAAGGAGGTCCCTAGGAGGCTTGACGAGCAGAGTAAGGAAATAAGAGAGACCCTGTCATTCCGGGAACCAGCAGCTGGGCCATGTGCCAGGCTCAGGGACCCTGGGAAAGAGGAGAGAGCTGGATTTTTAAAAAGCTGCAATTCTGATATACTCCAAATGCTGTTCAAAAGTCACTTCATAATAAATTTTCCCATATCAAACTTCCTGTTGGTATGCTTCCCACTGTGTTGTCTCTAGTTGTTTGAGCCCAGGGCTGTCCTAGAACCTCTGAGTCAGTTTTCACAGTTCTGTGGAACAGCACCTGCTAGCTTTCCCTTTCCCTCTTCCTTTCCCTCCCTGCTGTCTGTTTGCACGTACGGCTCTCCGGATATCTCATTACTCAGCCTGCCACTGGATTCACAATGAACGCTTGCACAGTGAGCCCTCGAGTGTGCTCCTACTGTATCAGGGGACAGCAGCTGACGCCAGTCCTGAAACCTCTTGTGGGACCAAGGGCCAGGGGCATTTGAAGTTCTCAACTTTGAGCCCCGGAAGAATGTTGAGTGGGTGTTAAATGCTAAAACCAGGGCCAGCTACCTAATTTGTGGGGTCCAGGGCAAAATGAAAATGTGGAGCCCCCTGTTCATATGACAGGGAAAGAATTTATTCCTTTTTTCTGTGGTATCTCTCTCGACATGTCATGGTGATTTTTATTTGTTATTTAGTGTTGTGCTCCCTTAGGCTGGGGATTCTCACCTTGAACACAAACTCTCACAGGTTCCCAGGGCCCCTTCTTGCAATTTAGTACATGCTCGATCCTGACCCTTTCCCAGTCTGGGCCCAGGCCTCTGCCAGGGTGCAGAGAGTCTGTCCCAGGGAGGCAGGGAGGTGGGACTGTGTGAGCTGAGGCTCCAGTGTCCTAACAGACGTCATTTACAAAACACAAACTCAAAGATACAATTATTGAGAATTTCTGGATGGCAGCCATGGAGCATTATACCCCAAGAACAGGGCTCTCTTCTGAGCATGGGACCCTCTGTACCACTACTGGTTGCTTGCTCATAAAGCAGGCCTGCTACAACCTTTTTCCTTCTTTTCTTCTTACCTTCCCTCTTACCTCCCCTTCCTCTCTCTATCCTTCTCTTGTCTAACAATGACTTTTAAATAATCTGGATCAATTGGTTAAGTTCTATGGCATGCCTGTCAGTAGAAGTTGGCCACACTAAACACATCTAAGCTTTCATGCCTGCTTTATCAACTTTTCCAAGATTCTTTCACCTGGTGTTACTTACACATATTTTGAAGGGGGCTAAAACACATTTGAAGCAATCAACAGACTCCCTCCCTTTTAAAAAGCACTAGCCATTTGAGAAGAAAAGCAGAAGCAAAAAGAGTGTCAGCTCAATGAATTTATTTACAGTTTCCTGGAAGAGTAAAGAAATTCAGGTTGCCAAGGTTATTCAAAGGGCAAAATGCCCTGTCTTGGTTCTCCCTCTGTGGGAAGAAGGAGCATCAAGCACAAATGGAAAAAGCAAAACCCCTCTCCTCACTCTCTCTCTTCCTCTCCTCACTTGAGCCTCAGGGGGACCATTTTGGAAGTGGCAAACCGAGATAGGAGCTGCTGCCCAGGACCCCTGAGCCTGCCTCTTCTGGATCCCGACCAGCCAGTCCAACGGAGCAGTTACCTTGGGAGCTGGAGAATGACACAGCTTCTCTGGATAAATGAAGACACTCCCACCCCTTACACTTTCCCTCCAAAATGCCCTTTGTCCTGAATTTTCCAGACAATTCCTTTGCCTCTATACCTGGCCCTCAATTGTAACATTATCATTGTATCTTATTTTCCTTTCTAAGAAGATTCTCCCAGGAATAATGGTGATAGCTACATCTGCTGAGTGAATGTTCTGTGGCTAGCATCATTCTAAGCATTTCGATGTACTAACTCATTAAATTCTGAGAACAGTCCCAGGAAGTGGGTGTGCTTATCATCCCCATATTGTAGAGGAAAAGAGGGAGGCACAGAGGGATTAAGTAGCTTGCCCAAGATCATAGCCAAGAAGTGGCAGAGTCAGGACTGACCGTCTGCAGAGTCTTTGCATTTCACCACTACACCAATCTGTCTCTGATAAAAGGAATGGTCTATTTGTTGATCCTGCATGTTCATACTGGGGAATGAATGTGAAAACTGCCGTTTAGACCAGCAACATCAGTAGCAATGGTGTGTGTCTTGCCAACTGAGACCTTTAGAGTTAAAACATTAGGTGCTTTAAAAGCCTCTCCTGGGGGGTTGCCATGGTCTACTCCCACAAGAATTTGAGAGAGCTCTAGAGCGCACTAGTTTGCAAGCTGAGGCCCCAGCTCAGTGGTCTCTTGGTAACAGCATTCCCTTCTTGGCAAGCTGGGCTGAGTGTCAGCCAAAGGCAGGATCCAGGCCTGGGAGGCCAGGGAGGGTCACAGAGACCAAGAAGCACCAGAGAGAAGAAATGAGATGCTGCCCAGAAGGGCCCTTAGGAAGAATGGAGAGTGGTTTTCGTTTGGTGGGAATATCATTAATATGGGAAGTAAGAACATTACAAATCCTATTCTTACAGAGTGACGTCAGCAACATGGTGGAGTGAGCAGTTTTCTCTATCTCTCCCCCTTTGAACTACAACTAATTGGACATTCACCGGTCAACTAAGGATATCCACACAGCATCTCAGGATGCCAGAGAGACCCGCGCTGCTATACACTGGAAGGTGGACGGACTTCTCCCTGGGAGGAGGTGGAGATAAGCGAAAACTCTCTGACCCCTGGACAGCCTAGTATCTGCAAGTGACTTTCTACTGGTTGACACACTAATAGCATCATCACAGCACCAAGGGCGGGCATCTGCGCACATCAGTGGCGTGATGGTAGAAACAGGTGACTACAGCCCTACCTAAGTCCCCCGCGATTGCTCCGTACCCCAGTGGGAAAATCCATGGTCCCACGGCAGCTGCAGGGAAAGCCTCTACTCAGCATTAGCAGAGAGGCCCCAACCAGCATTCAGAATGCTGGGAGGCCCTGGGGCAAAAGGAGCCCAGCGTGAGCAGCAACCCACCAGCCAGCCGCCTCTAACACTCAAAGTCCTGCTGTAGCCCTGAGGGGGCAAGGGAGACCCAGAGAGACTGTGTGAGTGGGCAGCGGCAGGTTGGAGTCCCAGTGAATGTGCTCCATGGTCCAGGGGGAATATCCATGGCCCCACAGCAACCGCAGGGAAAGCCCCTACTCGGCATTAGCAGAGAGACCCCACCTGGCAATCACAAAGCTGGAAGGCCCTGGGGCAGAAGCAGCACAGCTGGGTGAGCTAGCCACAGACTGCAGTAGATACCCATAGCTCTGCTGTGGCCCATAGTGGACAAATGAGGTCTTGAGGGCCCTGACGGTGGCAGAGCTGCAAGTCTAGGTGAACCTGCTCTTGGCCACTGTGAAAGCCCATAACACCACTGCAGACCCTAAGGAGGGAGCATGTCTAGCTGGTTTGTGACAGCAGGCACCAGCAACCTGAAGGCCCCCTTGCGACTGTCCCCACAGCTGACGAGAGACCCCACAGGACCACTGTGATCACGAGGAGGGGCCCAGGTCTGGTCAGCAACAGCTGACAGGGATCCTGGTCAGTGCAGACTACACAGCTGCTGCTCTGCTGCTCCCCTCGCCTGCCCCAGTAGAAGCAAGGGGAAGCAGTAACTAAACTCTATCTATATGTGGAGGCACAAGTCCACACCATCAAGCACTGTGAAAAAATATATTAAATCTCCAGAACAGAAGGAAAATGACACGTACCCATA